TACCTGCTCCTTTTGATTGTCAAATTTATACAGATAATTTCCTTTTCAATGTCTTTTTAAGATTTCAAAAAATTCAGCATTCATCGATTTACGATTAAAACACCGAAGAAATTTTTGAAAGAATTTTACTTTTAGAATTTATTAAAAGAATAATTTTTCATATGACTGATTTAGGATTCGCAGACAAACCTTAAAATTAAATTTTTAAAATGTTTAATCGAAAATATAGAATCCACATATGGAAATTTTCATGTTATAGAATTCAAATGTGGCGACAAATTTTAACATGCGAATCAAATAATAAATTCCTTATTTTCTAAAATCCAGAAAACGAAATTGTTATTCTGTTTTGAGTAATAGAATAAGGTATTTTAAACTTGATTTTTCCAATTTTAGGTAAACTCTACAGTTTTAGTACGAAGTCTAATTAAATGTATGCTCGTTGAAAATAAAATTAATTTCAGGTTTATTTGATTTATTTATGAACATTATATGTCAATATATACCACAAAAATATTAAAAACTCTGATTATATAGATAGTTCACAGGATCCTAAAAGATTAAATATAAAATCTCCAAATGACCAGGGAATTATTTCGAAATATAGTGTCCTGGACGGATAAATTCTGATAACTGTAGAAATGTACGGTTGAATAATATTCCTTTATATAAAAAAAATTCTAATAAGGTTATCCTACTTTAAATTTATTTTTTAAATTTAAGTTAATTAAAGTTATTCACCATCCAACTTTGAATATGGAAATATAAACATAATAATATGATCATTGTCAAACAAAAGACTCTAAAAAATATTCATCAAAGAAGTTAGTCTTTCTAGTGACACCATGGACTCTTCTGTTATTATTAAAGTTTTCTTCTTTAATTATATAATTTATTTCGAAATTTTTCTGTTTTTAGATTGTTAAATTGCTTTTTAAAATTTTTTTCTGGTATGCTTGCACTTCATGTCCATCTAAACTGTTTACAAAGAATCATAATAATTCTAGATACAGGGACATGAAGCGGTGTTATATATATACACAAAACCCCTTTCACCCCAATGTTATACTGATAGGCATGCCCAGACCAATTAGAGAGACGGGAGCTAAATGAAAAGCTTTCAACCTAAATTAAACTATGTTCCCCGATATGAGAAGCAATTAGTTTAAGTAACCAAGATTCACTTATTATAGTGACAAATTTTAATATGGAAATCAAATAATTTAATAGTAGCATAAGGTGTTATTAACTTGATTTTTCCAATTTTAGGTAAACTCTACAGTTTTAGTACGAAGTCTAATTAAATGTATGCTCGTTGAAAATAAAATTAATTTCAGGTTTATTTGATTTATTTATGAACATTATATGTCAATATATACCACAAAAATATTAAAAACTCTGATTATATAGATAGTTGATAGGTTCCAAAAGCTGAAATATAAAATCTCCAATTCGCCAGGAAATTACTTCCAAATATAGTGTCCTGGTTGCATAAATTCCGATAACTGTAGAAATGTGGAGCTGAATAATATTCCTTTATATGCAAAGAATCTGACGTCCTAATGTTATCATACTGATAAGAATGCCCAGACCAGTTAGAGAGACGGGAACTAACTGAAAAGCTTTCAAGCTAAATTAAACTTAGTTTACTCGATATGAGAAGCATTTAGTATAACTAACCAAGATTAATTTGGCTACTCAGCTCTTCTATAAAGCAGTAGACTAGCATATCACTGTTTAGTTAAAAGTAATTGTTTTTTGATCACTGGACGAAATAAAAGCATTTAATTCAGAAAATAAATAAATAAATTTAATAGAAAGGATTTTAAAAACACACATTTATATATGTGAAAAAAGGTAGAATTTTTATATGAAATATTTTCTACTATTTATTCTTGAACTAGCCGCCTACGGCGACCAGCTGGTTCGCCTTACTTATTAGTTAAAATAATTCAGTTATATCAGTAAAATTTGAAATAAGTAAGTTGTTTTAATTAGTTGTTGTTTTTATATTTAACATCGATAATTTAGAACTAAAGCTATCCGGTGAAGTAATTTTTAATTGAAGTTTCTGATCGTAATAAACTGTTGGCCTTGAAAGATAATAGATAAAACTGAAGATTTCAACAAATGACTACTTTATAGTCATTTGTCACCAAGTGAAATGTTTAAAATCTTGAATTTTTAGATGCTTTTTTAGATGAAATAGCTTCAAGATAGATCATTTTCAGTTACATGAAGTCAAACTTCAAAGTTTGTCAGAAGGTAAATGAAATCTAATATTGACAGAATTTAAATGAATGCAATTATCCGCTTCCACTTTTCAAATATTGCTTTGAACTTCTTTTAACATTGTTGAAGCAATTTCAAATGCATTTTAATTTCAAGTAAATATGTTACAATTACTCTAATTTCAAATGCATTTTAATTTCAAGTAAATATGTTACAATTACTCTAATTTCAAATGCATTTTAATTTCAAGTAAATATGTTACAATTACTCTAATTTCAAATGCATTTTAGTTTCAAGTAAGTATGTTACAATTACTCTAATTTCAAATCTGATATTTCAATAAAAATAAAATAAGATATAATATGAAATTTTAAAAAACAATAGTCCTGTAACTCAAGTAAATATTAGAGATTATTTGAAATATAATTTTGTGTGATATCAGAAAACATTTATCTGAGCAAAATACTATTTAAATGGGGTTTTTTAATGTAATGTTCCATATTCTGTTCCGTTCTATTTGTGTATTCTAAGTGATTTTGTTGAAATAGTGGTTCGGCATATAATTAGAAACAATGCTAAAAATTTTTAAAATCTCATAGAAAATGTTTTATGCACCAACTACATTTAAAATGCATTAAAATTTGAAATTGTTTGTTAAAATGTCAAAATTTTCTAACCATAATTCATTAAAACCAAAAATGTTCAGGAAAAAAGAAGTGAGCAACGAAATTTTCTCTCTCCGAACTTCCCGCTTATCCTCTATAACCTGTTTGCTCCCCGCCCTTCCTCCCTACCTCCCTACCTTTGGTTTCTGCCCCGTTCAGTCGAAAAGACAAACTGTCTCCTTGAGCGACCTTGACCGCAGTTAATGACAATTAAAAACCATGTAAAATTGAAACTAATCAGTGCACAGTACTCATACAAATATCATTGAAAGGTAATTGTTTGCACTTTAAATTGGTATCAAAATCATTTTCATGGGATAATTCTTTAGGAAGTTATTAACGGAAAAAAGGACAAATACGTCGAAATTTGGCTTAATATTTTTAAATAATTAAACTTTGAACAAAAAATTGAAAACAAATGGCTCCGAGGTGCACAGTCCCACTCTCCAAAGTATACCTGTACCAATTTTGTTAGCTCTAAGTTCAACGGTCTGTTCTGTAGAGCGCCAACAGACACACACAGACTTTCTCTTTTATTATTAGTAGAGATAGAGAAGATTTATAATGCATTATTATAAATATCATGGAACAAATTTTTCTCAATTTCGCTACCAACTGGTACTACATAAAGAATCTAAAATTGATTAAATTAAGAGATTAATTGATGATTCAATTCTTAAAATATTAAAATAATGTATTGCCATCTAGAATACAAAAGTGTACAAATTTTCAAAATCTAGCAAGTGGATTCCAAATAAATAGCAGGCGGATTCCAAAATTCGATCGTTACAAACATGAAACAAGTCAAGTTAAATAAAAGAGTGTAAAAATTTATATTTTCTCCCGTGCATGTTATCGTGTACTCCAGATAAAAGAGCCACTTTTAACGTCTCGTCAGAAAAAGTTGTGCCTGTTTTAATAGAGGAATTTAGTCCAAATTTTTACTCATACCCTCAATTAAAATGTAAGCACCATATATCAAAGTTCAATTTTTTAGCTCGTTTTGTTTTTAAATTGTCATTTTCACATACACACGGATGGACAGAAGGACAGAAAGTCTCCTCTTTCATACGGTCAGAAACTCGGTGACTTTATACAAAATTTCACCCATCAAGCTTGTTGCGTTTTTCAATTATCGTGTTCACATACAAGCGAGTATATAGAGAAACTGATAATCTATCTCCATGCAGATCTGGTATAAACTTCATACCGATTTACTGATGTGATAATACTGTTAAACTAGTTTCTTACATGATAATTATCATGTTTACAAACACATGGACGGATTGGCAATATTCATAGAAAGTATTTGATTCTCAAATTTTAAACACATTACCATTTGTTCCATATGCCATACAACAAATTTTGATCCATCTCGCATGTCGCGTTTTTAAAATATCGTGCTCATTTACGCAATGTGGAAAATTTCGAACAGATTGTATAAAATTTAATTAAGTGAATATCATAGTTAAATATTTCAATTAACTACAAATACATACAATTAATTTATTTGAAAACACTTTTATGCAGTGAAAGAGACACTAAGTTTCATAGCTTGAAGCTGTGAATTTTAAGTAATCATAATTTTGTTCGCCAATTTTCGAAAAATATAGACATCCCGACGAGTAAGGAATTCACATCCACGCAAGCACAGCCAATGGATTAGAAGTCCATCGCCTTTAACCTCTCGGCCACCTCATCAAATCTGGCTACTCTTCGTTAGAGATCAACTGTCTTATGGCCTAGTGTTCTGTTTTGTTTATTTAACGATCCTACTTTCGGCGTAATGCTAAAACAATGAAATCTCCATAGCCAAAGTCCAAAAGAAAAGCAAATAAAATCACGGTTTTTAATAGAAATGAAAAAAAAAAAAACAGAAAACTCGTACATACGGATATGTGATATGGCTTTATTAAAAAATATATTATTCATAGTTTGAAGCTACAGTTTTACGCATTTGTCAAAAATCGGAAGTTTGTTTGACCGCCTAATGTATAAAGATATGTGATATGGAAATTAATTTCATAGTTTGAAGCTAGAGCGTTACGCGTTTGTCAGATATCGGAAGTTTGTTTCACCGCTTTCGATAAAAAGAAGACATTTCGACGAGGATGGAATTCGAACCCATGGGTGCAGGGCCTAATAGATTTGCGGTCCATCGCCTTAACCACTCGGCCACCTTCTCCCATCCGGCTCTTCTTTCTTAGATATCGACTATTTTACATGGATATGTGATTTCCCATAATAGAAAATCACTTTCATAGTTCGAAGCTATAGCTTTACTCGTTTGTGAGATATGGGGGTCGATTCTGGTACCCTCGGTTGGGTAGGGAGTTCGGTTGGGTTCCGTTGTTAACGTGCGGAACCTAACCCAACCCAAACGGGGGTACCAGAATAGACCCCATGGGTAGTTTGTTCGACAGCTTTCGATGAAAACAAGACCCTTAGACGAGTATGGGATTCGAACCCACGCAGGCAGAGGCCAATGTATAAGCAGGCCATCGCCTTAACTACTCGGCCACCTCCTCACATCAGGCCTTTCTTTGTTAGATATCGACAATTTTATGCGAAAATGTGATTTAGCACAATAGAAAATCACTTTTATAGTTTGAAGCTACAGAATATTTCAGATATCGAAAGATTGTTTCAATGCTCCTAAAAAGACACTTCGACGAAATGGGATTCGAACCCACGCGGGCAGATGCCAATGGAGTCCATCGACTTAACCACTCGGCCACCTCGTCACATCAGGCCTTTCTCTATTAGTGATCACCTATTTCAAACTGAAATGTGATTTAGCATAATAGAAAATAACTTTCCTAGTTTGAAGCTACAATTTTACGCGTTTGTCAGATATGTGTATTTTCTTTCACAGATTTCGATAAAAACAAGACGCTTTGACGAAGATGGGATGAACAAACATTGACTGTTTTTTAGGTTTAATTTTCTTTATACACGTTGAACTTTCAACTTTAAGAAAAAGGCGATATAATTTTCTTTAAAGTGCGAGTTCTATATTTAGTAAAAAGTTGGAAAATGTTTCAAAATGTTTTTATAAAAAAGTTAGTTTGTTGACAAATTATCATTGATTTATTGAATTAATAAATAGAAGAACAGTCTAGGAGATGCTATTAAAAATCGGATGTTTTTTAAAACAGAGACAAAGATAATTGTCTCTTATTGTGCTACTTTGCAGAAATCTTGTTTCGCAAACTCACAGCAAGCTTTCATTGCAAGAAAGGGTAGCGCTAGTTGTCACGGCGAACTTGTGGCAACCTCGTTTCGCAAGCGAGGGTGGCGATAATGCATTGTTAGTTTGACACAGTTTCGCTTCAAGATTTACGCGTCAAATTTGCCATGGCATGGTAATGTAAAAAAAATCAAACTTAATGCAAACGTACGTGCTATCTGGTACGCGTTTGTCAGATATCGGTAGTTTGTTCCACAACTTTCGATAAAAAGAATACCCTTCGACGATTATAGGATTCGAACCCACGCGAGCAGAGCCCAATGGATTAGCAGTCCATCGCCTTAACCACTCGGCCACCTCGTCTCATACGGCTGGTCTTTGTTAGAGATCGCTTGTTTTATATATATATGTGAATTTTCATAATAGAAAATCACTTTTATAGTTTGAAGCATTATAGCTTTACGCGTGTGTCAGATATCGGTAGTTTGCTTCACCGCTTTCGATAAAAAA